ACACACAGACACACACACACACAAACACACACACAGACACACACACACACAGACAACCTCTCGTCATTATGCGTTTTCCGCATTGCATTGCCGCAAAAAACGCATAATAAATATCAAGAGTAATGCTGAAATCTGTGCCGTAAATACAAACTATTACTTAGTGGCTTAATCTAAACTGCATAGGGAACAATGGAAAGGAGGAAAAGATGGCCGTTAAGACAAATTTGCTAGTTTTCAGAGAACCCTTAATAAGTTACGAATTTTTGTAAGAAAAAAAACCAGTAATTTCAAGGTTTGCAAAGTGAACTGCGGCGGTCTAAGTAAAATAGTGACTGGAGTTTTTCTGGGGCGTCACTGATTGTATGGCCTTTCATAACAGTACAACAGCGAGCATACACAACAGATTGTAGGACAAACCTGGTGCACCGATTTCAAGTCTCGCCAGTTCCTAAGTTATTGTAAAATTCAGAATGGCGCTGAAGACTTTCAGAAATTTCAGTCTTGAATTCGGTGAATTTTACAATTGCGGATTTTTACTATAATGATGAAGTGCTGAAACTAAAAAAGAAAGAAAACTGGCTTGTGTAGATGTCGCTTGAAATGCTGAGCTGGCGAACAGTGTCCGACATCTCATCTATGCGGAAAGATGGCTCTTTGCCTAAAAAACGGTTAGCTTTTGGATACCCACTTGTGCCCGTGCTGCGCTGAAGCACATTTACGTGGTCTCTTCTGTGCATTTTGTAAACTAGCAACAGTTTCGGAGAAATTTATTGGATTTGATGACAATTTGGATCCAGAACAGTAGCAGTTAATGCTACCCTTAAACAGAAGACAACGAATTCGAATTTTTTTTTACGATACACTAGTTTGTCTTGATGCCACATTGATATTAGCCCTTCCCAGGGAATCAGAAATATTTGGATCACAGATAATTAATTAATCTAAACATCATATCTATCAGTAGGCATATTGTTTCATCCCTTAGCTATAAATACTGTCCGAGCAGAGGGTGCTGCAGGAGTGTAAGTCATCAGCACATCCTCCTACCCGCCATCTGTGTGATGAGCGTGTTTCTGATTAGCTTGCTTTTGTGGAGCACATCTTTAGAACCACCAAGTATCGCGTTTGCAAATGATTGTTAGTGGCAAAATGGCATCACTCGGGCCTTTCGTTCAAGGTGGGACATGAAAGAAATTTGTATTGTTGATGCAGGGACACGAAAATTAATTGTTGTGAAAGGGACACGACAGTCTACAGCGGGATGAAACTACACTTTTGGCATTTCGTGGCTTGCCTAGGTGTAGACGCAATCGCACTTGTGTGATCCTTTGAATCAATGGTTTCACACTGGATGCAGACAAAGAAACTACGGATTTAGCTTACCTGTAGCGCCGCTCCCATTGCCACAGGTCTGATAAACCGAGCTTTTATCGGATTCATTGATAACGCTTTTGCCAGTTTCAAGTTCATATGCTTTATTTTCGACGGCCGCTCCAGCCGCACACCATATTTGGCCTTAAATGGCCGCTGATTCGATCAAGAGGTGCTCAGGGACGAGAACTCACTACACAGAATTTCGCGAAAGTGGGAAAACGGTGTTGAATTGCAAGCCAAGTGTTACTAGCTAACTACCAGATTGCATCGCTGCACCGAAAGCAAAACAGAAGTAGCCGAAGCATTGACCAAGATGCCGCGCTGTCGTTGCGTGCGTTGATCTTAGAAACAAAGTCATCGAATCACAGCGGTGAAAATCAAAAATTTAGGAAGGCTTCCTGGCTTATCGATGCCTTTTAGGAGAAGGATCTGCGGAATTTTTTGCTGTATCTGAAGAAAATGTGGTCCAAATACTCAGATAAACTTAAAATTATGTTCAATAACAGAAAACTTATTTCACTTACATGTGCTCATCTCTTTTTCCGCCGTTTCCAGTCCACCATATGTGTTCATTTCCTCTTCTGCGGTTTCCAGCTCTTCTGAAATGATTAATGACAATAACAGTAGTAGTAATAATAATAACAACAATAGTAGTAATTATGATAATAATGACAGTGATGATGATGGTAGTAATAGTAATAATAATGAGAACAATAAAATTAACAGAAACTGCTAAGTTAAGACAGAATATTGCGAAGAAAACTATTATTAGTTTTTTAAATAACATCGAAATTTCATCGGAAACCAACTGATTTCGACTACTTTCGGTTCCATTTTCTCTTCGATCTCCACGTCTGCTTCTGAGTCCGACACCGTATAATCCGAGTAAACCAAATGTACCTCACGTCCTGAAATACTATTCTGGGGTGGTGGTAACCACTCTGTGCCGCTCATTTTACTGTTTTACATAAACCTAAGTCAAAAAGTGCACACCATCTTCGCTGTAAACTCAACTTTTTTAGGCCTTATTGTAAATAATCTCTTGCACACGTGCCGCATAAATTTTGAACTGCTCACTTTGTGTCTAATGAGCAGGCTAGTGTTGCCTGAAGATCTCAGACCTTACAGCATTTGTTTGCAAGGCCAAACTTGACAGTAGATGTTACAGAGAGTCTGTGACTGTCCGGCAAGAAACTATTGCGCATTCTACTAATACTTTGCTGTGAAAGATGGTCAGCAATTCAAAGACCATAATAACCTTCATCACGAATTTTCCACAGCGCTGGATTGCCTGCAATTGTTCTTTTTTTTTTAAACAAAGTTTATGAATACGAAAAAATTGGCCAACGCACGGGCTGCCCGTGCAAAGATGCGTTTTTTGCAGAGTTCCTCGCAGTTTTTGTCGCTACCGGCATCGGTTTTTTCGGCAGAT